CCCCAAAACCCCAAAACCCCAAAACCCCAAAACCCCGTCACTTTATTCAGAATTGAACTAAATCTTTCAAAGTTCGTCTAGACTTCAATACTCTTGCTGACTCTAAAATTTCTGCTCTTTCTGAACTTCATAGGGGAGAGTTTATAGAAAGTATTGTAGATGCCTTGCTCACGAACAAATTGCTTATTTCCTAAATTTTAGGAAGAGATTTACCATAAATTTTCCTCTTTTTACTATTCCGAGACTTTAGCAACTGCTTTGTCTTTGACCTAGACATAAAAATCACGGTATTACTTCAGAGTAGTCTTCTTGTTATGCTTAGATAACAACGGATACTTGTACTATAAAATCTGAGATCAGCTGGAGAAAAGGGAAGATTGCTTTAAGAAGATCCTTAAAATACCTTATTATTGCTAAAGGTCATATGTACCATACTTACCTGCTTTCTGCTATGATATCGCCTTGATCAAAAGAGTTATTCATCCCAATTAAGTTCTTGACAGACTCAAGTTTGCAAAACTCGACAATACTCATCTCAGGGTTAACAATAAAATCTGGAATCCTACAGATAATAACCAAACGGTACTTTTTATAACTAGGGAGTTTTCTAAAACTCTTTTTCCTAGGCTTCTTCACGAATTTGGCTGGCTTTTCACTATCAAAGCTTGTCTCTGCGTTTCCTACGACTATAAGTCCATACTTACTCAATGACTTTTTAGAATGGAACCGATTGAGCCGCTCAGGTGAGAAGGTCTGGTACATCTCATCCCTTGCCCTTCTTTGTAGCACAGAGTTATTAATCTCCTTCTTTACTTTATAAAAGTTGCTCCTAGTCCCTACTTGGCTTGATTCCTTGCTCGTATTCTACTTTGTTTATGAGCATATGTTTACCATCGTATTTGCCTTTGTAAATTTATTTTCATCTTGATTTCCTGAGATTCTTATCTACAGGTAAGAACATGTGTCTTGAAGTACCATCATCGTCGATCAACTTCAAAGATTTGCTGGGTAATTTACTCGCGTTTACAGCATTTTTCTTCACGAAATCTTTAAAATTTTCGATGTCTCCTCACTTTAAGGGCTTTAGGCTTGGGCATCATTGATTTTAAGTGGCTTTCCCTTCTTGACCTATAAGCAAGATTGTTTAACAGTCGAATGTAGTTAAGAATAACAGTGAAAGAGCATACATTTCAATAGTTTTAATACTACCAGGAGCTTCTTCCGAGATGACCTTTGTAACTTTTTTATTTTCTTGACTCAAGGCTGTTATGGTCTTGTTGTGCTTTAGGACCTAGATGTGATTTAAGAAATCTACAATTTAGGCTCTTCCATTGAGCTTCTTTGTCTTTACAATGTCTGGCTACTTGTATCACTAAAATTATCCTAAATGCTCACTATTTTTGTAAGGTGAGTCGTCAAGAAGAATACTCTTAGCAATTCCAATCCAGCCTAAACTCCATTAGCTACAACCTTTTACCTTTGTCTTCTTTAGGAAATTCAGAATAGTTTGGAAGAGGACAGTCAAAATAGGAGTCTAAATCACGCTTATCAAGTGAAGAAGTGACCAATATTTCCCTAACTTGCTCTCTCGAAATGGGTCTTGATATCATTTTCAAATAAATTTAACAATATTATTTATACGACTTGGGGTTTTGGGGTTTTGGGGTTTTGGGGTTTTGGGG